CGAAACTAGTAACTAACTAGCCTAAGCGCTTTCGACTCTTAATGAGTCTTTTTCAAAGGCAAATACAAAACATAGTTACGACAAACAAATAAACACAAAAACGTTGTGTTTGTAAACCTCTACATTTCTATCTTCACATGTGCTAAAACTATAAATACAACCAGCTTGTATAGACTAGTTGCGGAAACTGAAAACGTTGTATAATTCCCTAAAAGTCTACAAGCCAAAGCGACATCTATTTTTACTTTGTGTACATATGTAACGCAGATTATATCCCGGATATTTGATTCTATACCGGTTATTCTTATAGTAAAAATTGAAGGATAATAAGAAGATTTAGAAAATGTTAAATTCTACTAGTGCATAGTTTTCATTTTCTAGTCTTCTTGGTTTAGACCGCTTGGTTTCAATGTTCTAAGGCAGCGTATCCAGTATGATTCCTTTTCCTTCCTGGTTTCGGAACTCCAGCTGTGGTTGTTAGCAATAGCGATAAGTATTATATCACTGAAAGTGTGGCCAGGGGAGGAGAAGTGTTCTGCGACCGGGCTTCTGTACAGCTTTTTTGTCATCAATCAGATCTATGAAGGTTTATCCTTATGTGTAGCTTTTCAGTTTCTCCCACGTACTGAAGGCCACAGATCTTACATGTAATGAGATAAATCACATTCTCTGTTTTGCACGTTTTGTTTGGACCATGTATGTTTAGTTTTTCTTTAGTCACTGTGCTAGTGAATGTCTTGGTCTCTATCATATGTTGACAGGTTTTGCATCTTTTATCGCCACAGGGTCCAGATTGACTAGGTTGGTTTTGACTAGCGATTGTTGTTAGCTTGGCCCTGACTAGGATGTCCTTTAGGTTTTTTGGTCTCCGGTAAGCTACTACAGGTTTGTTCGGAAGTATTAGGTTTAGTATGTCTGACGATTGCACGGTTGGCCAGTGGTTTGCGATGATTTTACCTACTTTGGGATTGTCTGGGTGATAGGTCAGAATAAATGGTATCCTATCAACCTTTTCTTTCTGTCCATATCTGAGTAGGTCATCACGGTTTGTTTGTTTGGCCCTTTGGATTGCCTCCGCAATCAGGTCTTTGTCGTAGCCTCGGTAAATTAAATGTTTAGCCAGCTCTTCAGACCTTTCTAGGAATCTTTCATCGTCGGAGCAAATTCTGCGTATCCTCAGTGCCTGGCTATATGGAATGTTCTTAATGCAGTGTTTTGGATGACAGCTGGTTGGGAGAAGATACTGGTGTTTGTCGGTTGGTTTCGAGTAGAACTTCCATCCTTCAATAAAATTCACGGCAGAAATTTCCAACTCAAACCATGTTTTCCTGGACACAACAACCAGACTGGTGGAAAACAAATTACACACAGACATCTACTCGAAACCAACCGACAAACACCAGTATCTTCTCCCAACCAGCTGTCATCCAAAACACTGCATTAAGAACATTCCATATAGCCAGGCACTGAGGATACGCAGAATTTGCTCCGACGATGAAGGATTCCTAGAAAGGTCTGAAGAGCTGGCTAAACATTTAATTTACCGAGGCTACGACAAAGACCTGATTGCGGAGGCAATCCAAAGGGCCAAACAAACAAACCGTGATGACCTACTCAGATATGGACAGAAAGAAAAGGTTGATAGGATACCATTTATTATTATTATTATTATTATTATTATATATATATATATATATATATATATATATATATATATATATATATATATATATATATATATATATATATATATATAGCAGAGACCTACTTGTGGGTCCACACTCAACTATACTCAAATACGCACAATTACACACATTAAATATATCTTAAGTGATACATTTATATACTTTGGTAAGTTTTAATCGTTAATTGATGAATGTAAACACATAAGGCCCCTCCACTTTCTCTTCTATGGACTGTTGACGTTAATTGCATCCACTCTATTAATAGATCAACAAGTAGGTCTCTGCTTTTTTTTCTGACCTACTTGATGGTCTACTCTATTAATAACTACGAGCACGTGACGGGGACATTCTTTTCATGTCTGTAAATGGTATATGTAAAACTAAAATAGAAGAACACGTAGTTTGTTTTGTTGTTGTTTTTTATGAACCATTTTTCTTTTTTCTTTTTTAGCCGGCCCATTTGCATTCTCGGACTAACGAAATCGGCAAATAACTTACTCGACCTATCATTCATATAATAGTTATGTGAATGTAATGTTCTATTTTTCAACGGTCATTTCATTTGTTTAATCTTTGTACGTTTCTTTCAACGGTCATTTACTTTGCAAAATAAATACAGGGAATCGTAGTTTCTGTTCGTGTAAGGCCACTATGTTAATTGAGTTAAATAGTTAATTTAAAAAAAAAAATCAGGAAAATCAGGAGACAAAGCAAGCATTTCTACTGCTATCTACTACTATTTTGAGGGGTTTTGTATACATTTTTTTATCGTTGCCCTGTCTGATTTTTTCTCTCAGTACTAACCGTAACTAAAATATTTTATTTATATACATTTATTATCAGCAGTAAATATTCAACATCATCTTTTTGTACCCAATTTATTACCTATAAAGTCCATCGGATGAGCAATTTTCGTCGGAAAGTTTTTTGACATTTAAGGTGCCGAACATTCACCAGTCACAACTAGTATTAAATCGTAGATCCACGAGTAATATTTAAAGTAATCAGAGTAACTGAGCCACGTGACCTTGGACATAAACTTTAACTCCTTGATAATTTGTTGATAATAAAAATAAAAAAGTTTTATTTTAATCTTTTATTTCAGTGATCAATAACAATAAACTGCATGTTATTTGTTGTTCGATAATAAACAAAGGCATAGAAGATAATAAACACAATATTCTGTACATAGAACAATCACTTATTTTGTAACTGTACATATAAGCTATAAAGTATTTAATAGTCAATTTATATTTTTGTTCTTGCTCTTTCATTTATGCCGTGTTTTTGCTGGGCAGGCTTCTTATTTTTCATTGCTTTTTGTTTATTTGTTAGAGAAAAATTTACAATCTGCTGAAAATATTTTCTCTGGTTGTAGTTTTCGTTTATTGTGTTTGAGGAAAATTCCTAAATAAAGTCTCTGTTTGATCATGAGTTTTTAATCTCCATAACTGCAATAGCAGACAAAAAGTTGTACAGTGCCCTTCTTATATCCATAAACTGCAAGTTAACAACATCAAACAATTTTCCTATCAGTTCTGGGGTAGTTTGTATTTCCATTCCACTGCAATTTTCATAACATTATTTATTTTTTGCCTATAACCTTTCATTACGTTGCTTCTGCCTTGGTCTAAAAACGTACAGGTCAATTTATAGTTTCTAGTAAAGTAATTTATAATCATATTATAGCTTGTAATTTGACATACTTCAGCAGAAATCCAATCACATTAAAACGTATCGTTAGCTTTACTGTGGTCACCAAAAATATGTTCCATTATGGTGTTTCTTGAAGTTGGTTTAATGGCAGCAGCATTTCTCAAATTGATGTTTTAAATTGTCTTTAAGATGCTTGGTGCTTAGTACTCTGGCCAATTCAGCAAAAGAATGTTCGATAGCTTTTGTTACAGCTTTTTCTTCATTTCAGTACATAGTTTTTGGCACTCCTCACCATTTGTGTTTGATGGCCTATTCTGGTCCACATAATGGATAGAGATTGTTGTAAGTACAGGAATGGTCATTCATGGGATTTAACGTAAATGGAGTCTATATTGATATAAATATAATGTATATGAAAACTTTGAAACTTTAGGAGTATGGTAAGTATTTCAATAATTTCAATAATTCACTTTTTATTTATTACTGTTGTCTCTCTTTGACTAAAGTCTCTCTCTCTCTCTCTCTCTCTCTCTCTCTCTCTCTCTCTCTCTCTCTCTCTCTCTCTCTCTCTCTCTCTCTCAGAAACAAAACTAGAAAAATCATTTTAGCATCACTTTTGCAAATTCTATAATGCTGGTAATCTGAAATAACATACATTTAATATTCATGAAACCAGACAGACGTTACAATAGTTTCGTTCCATACAGCATCGCAAATTTTATCCTATCCTAAAAGTCAATAAATTACGGAAGCCCATTGGTGACAAATCGTGTCCGTACAAAATAAATATATTGCGTATAAACGCAATATTTATTGCGAATATTCGCAATAATACGTGAAACAAATTAGGTACCTTTAGTTATATTTAAGGATCCTGACCTGAAAACTGAGGTACAGGTAGGATAAAATTCACGATTCTGTGTGAAAGGAAATGAAATAGATGAAGCTGAAGTATTGATCTGGCCTAGTCTTATACTCAGCATCGGCTTATGTATAGATGAAGAAAGGAAAATTTACCAAATTTGCTAATTTGATGTATACAACTCATTGACTTATAGGCCGGAAAATACGGTATCACATCTCTTTCGTATCAGATCTAAAACTTTACAAATGGTAACAAACTCTAAATTTCAAATATGAATTATATCAAAGTCAGACATAATTATATTTGAAAAGGCATTTAGTATCTTAAAATGTGTTAATTTGATAAAATATGGAAAGAAAATGCTAAATCTCTAAGTACGTCCTTTTGAGTTACCAAGCATGTTAACAAACTCACAAAACCTGACAAAGGCATAGAAAGTAATAATAGAAACGTGTACTATTGTTGTACGATGTTTCCAGCATAAATTACCAAAAGAAAATTATTTGGTTTGCAACATACACCGTAATGCATGACAGGTCACTGGGGGTCAAATTCTGAATTTGTTGAATCTTAGAAAGGCATAGAAAGCTTGAAAAAAATCGTAACTAAAATGTTTATTAATATTTTACAATGCGTATATCGGATAAATTATCGTCATTAATGGCTATGTTTCAAACAGGCACAGAATGTTATAAACTGGCATAATGCAAATGTGTATTATTGTGAAAAAAAAGCAGAAATATATGATATTGTCTGACTTGGTTATTATCCAAATTCGGAATTTATCTCCCAATTGATCGCTCCGGTGGCCTAGTGGTTAGAGCGTCCGCCTCGGATGCGGCAGGTTGTGGGTTCGATCCCCGGCCTAATCATACCAAAGACTTACAAAATGGTACTAAAAGCTGCCTCGCATGGCTCTCTGCATTAAGAGGTTAGTATTAGGACTGGTCGGCCTGATGTCAGTATAATGTGACTTGGTGGGACATCATGCTACATGTCTTCGGCATGATGCCCCAGTGCTAAACATCACTATCAACTGCCTCACTGCAGACATCGTAGCGATATGACTGAATAATTGTTAAAGCTACGTTAAAGATCTAAATCACGCACACTCACACGCGCGCACACACACACACACACGCACACGCACACATCTCCCAATTCGCTTCATTAGTGACATAGGTTTAACGCTTGTCTTTTGGTTTGACAATGAAAGCAATACTTACAAGTAAATATCCACTTTAAACTCTTATTCTTCCATTCTCGTCCTAAGTATATCAGCAATTCCAGGCACGTGTTTGTAGTTCTAGTTATTAATCTCTTGGTATTCTATCGAGGACGAGGAAGACATGTTGTTCGGTCTCATGGACAATGGACACTCGTGTAGCTCCGGAGTCAAAATTCCAATGCACACAGGCGGTTGCAGGTGGGGCATGGGATACTTGGTTGGGGGTGGCAGGAAGTAGTTCTGTGACGTCTCTCACGAGATTCAGCAAGACGCTGGCGGCGGTCAGCCTCGAAGGTGTAGTTGGCTTTTATGGTCACTGCTCGTCAATGACTTCTGTCTAAGACAGCGAGCTCGAGCTGGTGAGGTGGAAGGTCTGTCCATTTGAAGTTATCTTTGTACTTCTTGCGAAGGCGGCCTTGGTTTCGCCAAAGAGCAACTGCTTTGATCCATACGGATGACATTCCAACGAAGCTGGACCTGGATTAGTTGGGCATCGATGTTTGTTATGATGGCTCGAGTAAGGACTTCCTAGTTGGGGATTCGGTCCTGCCACTTGATCCACATGATGGATCTCAGTGAGCGCTGATGGAATTGTTCCAACTGATTGATGTACCTTTTGTAGACATTCCGTGTTTCACAGCCATACAAGAGAGACGTGAAGACAACTGCATTGTACATTATTATCTTTGTTAACAGGCGTATGTCAGACCTTGGTTCGGAGTCATCCGAGTGCTTGGCTGGCTGTTTGGATCCTCGCAGTGATGTCGTTTTTCAGGGAGCCATATTGTGCTGCCTAGGTATTTGAAACTGTCCACAGTCTTTAGATGTGTATCGCCAATGGTAATGCAGGATTGTGAAGGGATAGTGTTTGGGGCAGACTGGCAGAGGACTTCTGTCTTTCCTAGGCTAATTGTGAGTCCAAACAGATTGGAGGTTTCAGAGAACCTGTCCACAATTGCCTATAGGGAAGTCTCTTCATGGGCCATGAGGGTACAGTCATCTGCGAAGAGTGCTTCAGAGAAGAGTCTTTCTAGCGTCTTCATTTTCGCAGCTAGGCAACGGAGGTCAAAAACTGTGTCATCCAGGCGATACCTTATGTAGATACCAAGGTCAAGGTCAAGAATGGCATGGAGCAGTACATGCGTGAAGAAGAGTTTGAAGAGTGCTGGAGTGAGTACACCGCCCCGTTTGATATCGTTAGATATGGGTAATTTCTCAGAGGTTTATCGTCTGAGAGAATCTCTCCAGTCATGTCATCATGAAAGAGCCTGATGAGATTGGTAAACGTATGAGGACAACCAAGCTTCTTGAGTACTAGCCACAGTACTTTTCTGTTGAATGTATCGAATGCTTTCGTCAGGTCTACGGTGCTCTCAATGGTGCCGAAGTCTGGGCGAAAACCACACTGAGACTCGGGGAGGTTATCTTTTGGGACTGCCACAATAAGCCTGTTGAGAATAATGCGAGCAAATATTTTGCCTGCTGAGGAGAGCAAGGAGATGCCTTTGTAGTAACTGCAGTCCGCACGTGTGCCTTTATTCTTATAGATGGTCACAATTGATGCGTCGCGGAGGTCATCTGGCACCTCAACTTCTGTCCAGATGCTGATTTGCAGATCATGGAATGCCTCCAGAGTATGTTCACTAAGAGCCTTATACACCTATGCTAGGATGCCATCCTTTCCAGGTGCCCTGCCACAGTTCATTTTAATGGCCATCCTCAACTCCTCTATCGTTGGTGGAACACCCATTTGGTCGTGCGTTGGCTGTTGCGGTATTTTGTCGAGAGCAGATTGGCAGACCGGTGAGGGCAGGTTTAGGAGCTGGCTAAAGTGTTCATTCCATCTTTCTTTAATACCAGCCTTGTCCTTTATTAGTGTACTGCCATCTTCAGCAAGCAAGGGGAAGAGCTAGACTTTGAGTGGACGAAGATTGACTTGATGGCGCTACAGAACTCTTTTGAGTTTTTAGTGTCGGCATAACGTTGCACTTCGTCAAATTTCCTTTCTCACCACTGGTCACGCATCTTCCTTAGTTCTCTCTGATCCTCAGCTTTTTTAAGATTTTAAACGGACCTTTTTGGGGATGAAGTTTGGGTGATTCTGTAAGTCCATGAATGCTTTGTTCTTTTTGGCAAGCAAATCTTTAAAGGCACTGTTGTTCTCGTCGAACCAGTCTTGATGGGTTCGCTTCTTGGGGCCAAAAGTCGTTATAGCTGTCTCCCTGAGTTTGTTCAATTTCTCGGAGGCATTTCCACGTATAGATCCGTTGGTAGACAGCTTGTCATCAAAGCTGTTCTGGAAATCGAACTGGGTTGAGGCCTGCTGAAGTTTTGCAATGTTGATAGCTGTGCGCACAAGCTTAGGACGCCTTGGGTGACGTGGAAAAATACGCAGCTTTAGGGTAGTTCGAAGAAGTCTGTGGTTTGTTCAGCATTCCGCTCCTCGCATGGTCTTGGCGATGAGGACATCCAGGTCATCACGCTGACGGACTATCATATAGTCGATTAAGTGTCATTGGCGAGATATGGGGTGCATCCACGTGTTTTTGTGTTTGTTTGCCATTCTGAACATTAAATTTGTGAAGAGGTGGTCGAATTCTGCGCATTTGCTGTTCATCTTGCCGACACCGTGCTTGCAAAGCACACCTTTTCATAGTCTCAGCCAACACGGGCGTTGAAGTCTCCTAATAGTATGATCTTGTCGTCAGCACAGTACAGAGCCGAGGTCCGCTTAGAACTACTCGATGGTTTACGCTGGGCTCGTGAGGGTAGGGGCGTAGGCGCTGATGATTGTTGCCTGGCGTTTGTGATTGGTAGGTAGCCAAAATTTAATTAGCCTCTCATTAATAGCAATAGGCAGGTCCGGAAGCTGCTTCAGAAGATTTGATAACCAGGTCGATTTCGTGGATCCTGTCTTCGTTTAGGGCATTTTCAGGGCTTTTTCTTTCCAGAAGGTGTAGCCGCTTGTTAACTCAGTCAGAGAACCATCCTCTGCGAAGGTAGTTTCATTCAAGGCTGCAATGTCGATATTGTAGCGCGAAAGAATCTTAGCAACTAGGGCTGTTCTCATGTAAAGATTTGCTGTGTTTTCTTTGTCCATGAGAGAAAGGATGTTCCATGCTCAAAAAAGAAATTTCTTTGATGGTTTCTACAGCAGATATGGATGATCTTGCCAGCTGTGGAAAGCAGACAAGATTTTGAAGGGCAGGCTATTTTGTAGGCCACATTTTCTAGGCTCCTTTCTATATAGGATGAGCTCTGTCCTGTTCTGCTCAATCACTCTGGATGCTGCAGATTTATTCCACTGCCCTGGGTACAGAGCAGAATGACCAATTGTCAAAGAGCAGCGTATGACCAGGTCTCTGACTACAACTCCCAATGGTAATCTCCACCTGTTGCTTCGCAGTTGGCTATCACCGTAGAACTTTGGTAGGTGCAGGTAGGGAATGATGAGCGTGATAATGTGGATGAATGATAGGTGCAAAACATAACTTGAGCATGAAGGAGATTTAAATGAAACAACCTATGCAAAGAGACAGCCTCATTCTCTAGGCCTTGGTAGTTGTGATCCTGTGGTACTAAGAGTTGTCACGGCTGGAGATTACTTCGGCTGCAAATAATGACCATGATGTCTTCAGTGCCTTGTCACGCCTTGCGCTCTCCACAAAGCATCTGCCGATTCGTCTTTGTGGCCATTGGATTGCTCACTTGATCTCCTTCATCCAGTCTGCCGATGTTGGCTTTGCATGAAAGGATAGGCAAGATCCCAACTTAACAAGGGTTTGAGACCCGCCGAATACCCTCAATAGGGGATTATTAATAGTGTTTGGAAATCACGTCAACAGTCCTACAAGGAAAGTGGTATTACTCTATGATTTGGATGCCCAAAGCATAAATATCAGCGTCGAGGTCTTACATGTAGGACTAGCCAACAATGAGATGAATAACAAAGAAAGTGGAGACTTGAAATGATTGCATTCATCAATTAACGATTAAAAACTGGTCCACATATATAAATATACACCATTTAAGTATACTTTAGTGTATTTGAATAAAAATATGTGCCATTATAGAATAGTTCGTTTTACCAATATTTTAGTAAGATTCACCAAAAATTGTCCATGGCGTATGTGTCAATTGTCCTATGGGCTTTTTGCGACATTACAATTTAGTGATCATGTGAGCCATCATGTGATCTAAATTCGTGGGTGAAAACATTTTCTAGTAGATTAGTTAGTCATATTTTTACACCTTTAGAGCTCAAGGTGTTTTTAGTGTTGCCAATTTGTTTTAAAGTTTTTCTTGTTAGAGATTTATCAATTTATATTCTCTGGAAAACATACGTAAGTACTCATGTTCATAAAATTCTTGCACAAAGACATTCAGTGGAAATTTTTTGGAGTTCTAAAGCCGGAATATTATTCCTGATTCATAAAATTCAACGAGGAATTGACACATCCACATCAGTACAATACTGTACTCATCTGATGTCATCGTTCTCCATATTGGAACTTCATTGGGATTCAAACTTGAGTTCATTTAGAACTTTGTAGTAGTAAAACTATCTTTAGATTCCATGATTAATGTTTGATTATATTTACAAACTAAGTCCTTTTCAACATTTTTACCTTTTTTTAGGGAAATA